AACTACACTGGCAAGCTTTTTTTAATTTGTCTGGAGTATCTGAGTGTCCATATGCATGGCCTGACAATCAGTATGAACGCTGACTAGATTAGAGCTAGAGAACGTGAACGAGACCGATCTCAGGAAATTAAAGTCATCACAGAATGATCCGTCCCATCTAGAAAAGCCCTCTCTGACCTGTGCAACCCTTCCTGATTTACTCCCTCCTCTCTCTGTCTTTTCAATCCCTTCATTCCCTACTCTCTCTCTCTCTCTGGACCAGTCCTCCCCACAATCCCTTTCACCTCTCTGCCTGTCAACCGACCACTTAACATTACTTCCCCACCTGTGGAGCGGCGGAGGGAGCGGTCACACTTCAAAGCACCGTGCAGTGATTGAGCACTGATTGCTGTGGGACACTTGACTCATTTCATCTCATCTCAAGGACTAAAACTTCTGGAGAATGAGGTGGGAGGCAGATGGAATGCTGCGGAAAAACAGAAAGCTTCTGCCTTTGATGGGATGAGCTTCCTGTTTGAGCAACACTGAAATGGTCCTGACAACATTTACGTAGTCAAACAATCAAAAAAGGACAGTTCTCCACAAGTTAAATCCAGAATACAACTATATTTAAGCTGCTTTCATGTTGATGCTCTAAATATAGTCTAGTCTAAAAATGCGGAGGTTGTTATGCTTCATAGAAGTACATCTTAGGAAAAAACAGTATATCAAATTTTCCCTCACTCTTGATTACATTTACATTTGTTATTGGCAGATACTTCGCTACTACAGGGACTTACCTTCTAAAGTGCATACAATGTGTTTATGCCAATTAATAGTTCAGCCAAAATGAAATTTATCTTGAAGTGCCAAGTTTGACTATGCAAAGGCAGGGAGAAATGATGGACCAGAAATGAAATCAAACTGCTTTAGAAGACTTAGAATACAGCAGAAAAATATGTATGGACTAACGTTTATGGTACACTTAGGACTTGAAAACCACTGGTTATTATATACTGTATGTTTACAGTATGGAAAAGAGCAGCAGGAACAGTGTTCAAAACATCTCCAATATTGAGTTCTACCAAAAGACCAAAGTATCTTTCGGTTTTTAAATGTACACTAGGATAGGTGTACAGTGTGCAATGTAAATATCAGCATAATATGTGTGTACTGTACGTGTGCAACACGTTTTTCTAACCACGCTTAAGGCCTGTTCAAACCAACGATGACAAATATAACAATAAATATGTAAATTTAAAAACAAAATTCTAAATATTAAAGTCCACACCACAACTATAACAATAACAACACAAAGGAACAATATCACTGGAATTACTTTCAAAACGTTTTTTTTTCTCCATCTGATGAACAATAAAAAAAGTTACAACCAATCAGAATCCATAGGACTTTTTAAATAGTTTGAGCATTTAAAGTGGCAGGTGACAGAACTATAGTTATTAGTATAGTTATTGTTCTTTTAAATATGTGTCAGCATATTGAAAAGAAATCTCCAATAACAAAAGCTGAAAATATATTTCAGTTTCTAGAAGTACTATTTACATATTGTGCATGTGCACCCTGATTTTTCAAGGTATAAGAGACCCAAGGTAAGTATATGGGAAAAAAGGTATAAATATATAGAGTTTTTTTATTGTCATCAACCAAACCGTAACCAGGTTTTATACCTAAAAACAATATTGGCATTGATGGTTCCATAAAGAACCTTTAACATCCACGGAAACTTTCCATTGAGTGTTCTTTATAATGAAAAAAGTTTTTTTTCAGTTTATTTAAAATGTTCCTTAAACTAAGGAAAAGTGGTTCTTTTAAGAACTGATCACTGAAAGATTCATTGTTCTTTTAAAAACTGTTCACTAAAAGGTTCACTGGCTCCCTCTGTCCACGTCCCACTAGTTGTGACCCACCAACCTTGAAACCTCAAAAGCCGAACAAAAAAGTATCAAAGTCTGTGATCTCTTTTAACAAATTGATTAATTTTATGTCAGATTGCGGAGCCGATCTCCAGACTGATCTCAGTAAAGTGCTAACAACATGGACAGAATTCCATGTAGAAACTGATCGGTGGCCAAACATTGTCCCCTGGTGCCCCGTCGCATACAGGACTTCAACGGCCCGGGGTTTCCGCTTTGGTGCCTTGCCCTGATCATCCCATCTGTCTCCAAATCATCCTCCTTTCTCTGTTTCAGAGAAATAAAAAGCTGGAGTCTTGCAGACTGGGTCAATAGGGGCATGTCAGATTGTATGACAGCATCTGAAACAATCAGGTCAAGGTCATGCATGTTCATGTGTGCCACCTACTTTTGGAGGGCAACATTTAATAAGATAAAACAACCAAAAGAAAGGCCGTCCGCCTGAAAGAGTGCGGCTTGTTTGCCGTGAAAGTGCAATGCAGCTTAATGTTTGTGAGGTAATGTGTCACATTTATTGCATCTCAGAGTTTGGCCTTTTCTAAATTTCCCCTCAAGGATCAATAAAATATTTCCTTGTCTATTTATTATTTCCTCAGGCTTTGAGTTTAACCTTAAGCCCCTAGTAAGATTTATGGCTGTCAACTCAGAATGTAGATCAATATTATACGTTTACAAGAGCCTAGTTGTATTACAGCATCAGAAATGAATATTTCTGGATAATGCAGGTAGTTTTAAAAATATTATATAAATATTATAATAATAGAAATAATAAATATATTCAAAATAATGATGTATGTATATATATATATATATACACATGTATATACACACACAAACACACACATCAATAAATGGTCTAAGACAAAACAAAAGGAATGCAGCATACAAACCTTTATAAAGCCTGTTTGCACATTGCCAGAAAAGTCTGCCTTTGAACGTGTGAAAGTTTCTTGTTCCAGACAAGCTGTTAATAAGAAAAGAAAATATTTTTCAAAGGATTCAGTGCGCCTAGAGGTGTCAGCAAGTCAGCTGGCGATCTTGTGGGTGCGTTTGATGCTAAAACAATCAGACAAGTGTGTGATAGCCTGAATTGAAACTTCCTCCTGACTGACATTCTTAAGAAACCGCAAGCACACAATATAAACACTGTTATACAAGTTCACTCAGGAGTCAAATGTCAAAAATCAAAGATACGATATTCGATTTTACAAACATACTCTTTTGGCCTACTACAAACATGACAAAGCCACAATATCCCATAAATCAAATGAAGCTTAAAGGTGCAGTCAAGTAGGTTTTTGCTAAACATTTATCTGGCTCTTGTTGGACTCTATACTGACCCCTTTTGGCCTGGATGCATGGTTTTGTTTGTTTACTAAATGCAGCTGTTTCACAATGAAGATGTTTAGCTTTTGTTTTGTTTCTTTTAGTCTACGTTTCTCTTTGCTTAGATGCACATTTATGTTTATGCTTTTTAAAACACTGGTTTAAGGCCCGTTCACACCAAGGACAATAACTATAACGATAAAGATATAGTCATAGAAATCGTTCTAAATTTAAAGAGTCCACATCGCAACTATAACAATAACGACACAGTGGAACAACAATTTCGCTGGAATCACTTTCAGAACAATTGTCCAGCTGATGAACAATAAAAACATTGACAGCCAATCAGAATCCATCCTGCTTTAAAGTGCTAAAGCATTTAAAGCAGCAGACGACAAAACCGCAGTGCGTGCTTATAATGAACAGAAACTTACCGTGCGTTGGTGTGGACGCTGCTATAATAATCGGTGTAGTTATCTTTATATTTATCGTTCTTTGTGTGAACGAGCCTTTAAAGTGCTATACAAGAAAATAGTTTACTGTTATTTATTAGTAGTAGTAACTCTGGTCATGAGAACTCAAAATACCTGCTCTGTGTAGATAAAAACAAGAGTTTTTCTTGGAAACAGATCTGAATAGAGCAGTGATTCTCATCCTTATATGATTAAACAATATTTTGAACCATTCAACAACAGTATACACAGCATTTATCTCATACCTCCGGAATGAAAACAAAGATGCTCTGTTTCAATTTAAGGAGTAAACTGTAAAAATTAAATTTGTGGAAGCAGAATGGTCTCTATATAAGATAAAAATGATTATATATAATAATCTATATAATCTTTTTCTTGGTCAGAATATTTATTTATTTGGTAAATAGCCACTTTGTGACCTGCAACTAACTAACTGTACATTATCGTTTTCGTACCTTAATTTATTTTAAATCATTATAAGTCATCTTGAAGCCCTCTAGAAGTTACAACCACCTTAGAGTATCCAACTCATAATATTACTGATATTTCCAAAACTGTTGTGCATTTCTTAACGTCTAAAACTTAGCTTGAGCAAAAACGACTGAGTGCACCTTTAAGCTTAATAAAAGAAAAAATACTGAGCCCAACAGCCCGGCTCAGGGCCTAAACGCACCATTGGTGGATAGCTAGTAGATTGTTTACAGGTACCTTCAGCCCACAGCACCTATAAAGTAGGCTATATATTAAAAGCATCTATAGATTGAATAACCGAAGAGCCTTTCTGACACACATAAACCAAGGCATGCTGATTTCTGCTTGAGATTTGTGCATATACAGTAGAGGCAGTGAACAAGAAAGCATCCACCATCATCCTTCTCTCACATCAGATATTACATATCTGATCATTATTTTGTAATCCATAAACGGATTTTTCTGTTCAGTCTGTTACGCAACAGTCCCAGCCCGTACTGATATATAGCCCTATAATGTGTCTTCAGACAAAGAAAATTCAATCCCCAATCATATCGCAATGCATTTGATGATGATGCGCTGAAAAGACGCCCTTACCTCAAATCCACCAAAACAACGGGCTATTTATTATCCCACCCAAGTTCCTTTGTTCAAACCGGCCTCGACTGGGAAAATAAATAAATAAAAACACCGTATACCCGCAAGATGCGTCTTATAGCGGTCCAGGCACGTACAGAAGACAGGTGCACCTGGATCTCCTCTTATTGCACACGGATGCTCCGTATGACAGCAGGCTATTATTTAAGACGCGTCTTACCGTTCCTCAGTCAGTCCTTAGTGTATTCCTCATCGTCCATATAGCAGTCCGTTCGAGAATGGCTTTAAAATCATATGCCCAGCCCGCTGTATTCTTTCACATCCTCATGTCATTCACTGATGCAGCAGTGGCAGCGAAGACACGCCCACCTTATCTCTTACCCCCTCTTGAATGACGTAAAGGAGCAACAGACTCCGCCCACAGCCCACTCTCACGCCTATTGAATGACGTTATAAATGAGCTACAGACTCCGCCCACCGTGGAAAACAGCAGCCTGTTAGGATTGCTATCAGGGTCTCTGCGGTGTCACACACTTTTTATACACGACTAAAAGACGATTTTGTTTTGTATGAAAACAAAAGCTATCTGAACATATACTGTTAATTATTCACATTTATTACATAATATAAATAATATCAATAAGCGGTTTTCCCACAGTTTTTTTTCTTTTCTTTATTTAGCATATTTTTAATTTTTTTATGTTGTTCATTACCTATTTATATTCAATGAACATAATAATATTAACATTTTACAAAGCTAGTACACAACTGAAACAATCTTTACATTTTTTTGTTGATAAGCTACTTCTAAAGATTGTAGAAACTTAATTTTCTGTAAAGTTGCTTTGCAACGATTTTATATCGTGATAAGCGCGATACAAATAAACTTGAATTGAACTTGAATTTTTTTATATAAAACAGAAAAGTAGAATAGAAAAATTAAACAAATACAAATGTTATTTCCAAACATCGTTTTTTTATAATATACTTTTAAAATACATTTTATGGTATTTCCTTGAATAATTTATTACTCAATTCTCATTTCCTCAATAAGAATTTATTTTAATGGTTGACTTTTATTAAATGTCAATCAACAAATAGGGGCTGGTACTTGGCTTTGATTGGTAAATGTTTTACATTGCAATATTAGTCAGTTGTGTCATCAGATTCTAATTAAAAATGTTCAACAAGAGGTTCCTGTTGGATAGTTGTTTTATTATTATTATTGTTGTTGTTTACATTTTTTGTTAGCCTATTTTATTATCATATTTATTACTTTTTTATATTTTATATTCTTCTTCTTCTTGTATATTTTATATTCTTGTTGTTGTTGTTTATTTTGTTATTATATTTATTATTTTTATGTTTTATAGTATTCTTATTCTTGTTGTTTTAATCTTTTGTTATTTTATTATTATATTTATTACTTTTATATTTTATATTATTATTGTTGTTTTTATTTTTATTTAGGGGACTTATTGTTATATTTATTACTTTTATTATTAATTAATTAATTAATTTATTTATTATTATTATTATATAATAAATATATAGCAAGTCATCTGTAAGCAAACAAACAAACAAATGACCAATCCCCTTGAAAGCAACTTGTTGGGCAAGTTTTGTTATTTAGACGCTCGTTGTCATTGGCAGCGCAGGACTGACCCATTTCATTGAATGAACTGTGTGTGAGTGTGTGTATGGCGAATAGATGCGCTGTACAACATCGCGAACGATGAAGGCCGGTTCGACGCTCTTTATTTTATCATTATGCTGTTTCGGTTTTATTCAGTCCAGATCGCCGGCGCTGTCCTGTCCCAGCGGACAGTTCTTACTAAAAAATCAGTGCGTTTTATGTCATCCCACCTGCTCGGAGTGTAAGGGTCATGAGCTATTCGAGTGCACCGCTTGTGGTTCAGGTAAGTGATAGTTCACTATTATATTCTGTAGTTTAACACTGAAATATCTATTGGATCAAACAGGTTGCCCCCATTGGGACAATTCTTATCTCCGCTGTCAGTGCGCATGCGCAGTAGAACAACTCTTTTTATAATGATGTGATGTTTTACTTATGAAATTTGAACTATATTAAGTTATAGGAGTAAAAATTTATATTTGGAGCTGTTTGTGAGTAAGAATTGTCGATATAGCAATGCTGTGAGCAAATAGGGACACTACTCGATATTTAATTAAAAATGTAGGTCAAAATACATCTTAAAGCGTTTTTGCGTTGTTTTGGCCATTGGGTGATACGATTCTGTGGCAGCATTGTGCAGGTTCACAAAGGGGTTTTCCAAGAGACAATTGGGAAGGCAAACCTCCCAGTCCTCCGTGCACAGCTGCTGCGGTGAAACAATGAAGCCGCTCTCCCTATTTATCAACGTGACAAAGACTGCTTTACCTCAAAAGAGAGTTTGTTTAGTGACCTCAACCATGAAAGTGCTTGCGCACTTTTAATTACAGGAAGAGTTGAAATTAAGGTCCACTCCATAAATGTATCTATTATGATTTTGAGCAGTAATCGATGTCACTGGAATTTTAACAGTAGAACTAGACTTTAAACTGCCAAACATGGGAGTGGGGAAAGGTGAGACCACTTCCTTTCCAGCATTGTGAACGCTGATAATGTTTCTGTTTGGACATAGTTAAAAAATACCTCGAGTTATGCTAGGTAGATAATGGCATTTTCTTTAGCCTCAGTCCCAGCAATCCATTTCGGATTGAAACGCATTCTGTGACCAAAAGTTTGTTATGTATAGCCTAGTATAGGCTACATGTGTTGTTATCGAAAATATGTTTTAAGAACGTTTTGCTAACGTTCGCATTAAAGGCACAATGCATCCATGAACATGATTTCTGCCCGAGTCCCGTCGGATTGCATCGGCTGTGGGGATAAAGACGACAACTCCCATGATTCCACACTCAGTCACGGCATCATCAAACTACGCCTTTGTCTCTTTGTTTATTTTGAATACGCGCCCTCCAGCGGCGAAAATTACATATTGTGCCTTTAAGCTATTAAAACGGTATTTCTAAACGTTGTCTCTATGTTATTCTTAGTTATTTAGAATCTTAGAGAAAACATTAAGGGAACGTTACATTTGAATGTTTTCTGAATGTTCTAAAACAAATAGTAACATTTAAATGTGTTAGACGAATGTCCAACTAAAATGTTACAGAAAAAGTGCTCCGAGAATGATGAATAAATAATGTTTTGAGAACACTGTTAAAGACCAGACAACTTTGAACAAATGTTCGTTTAAGGTTACTTGAAGAACACTTGTTCAGAACTTTAAAAGAACCTTTCCCAACTTTGAAAGTACATTAGCCAAAAATTTTATAAGGTATTTTTGTCATACATCATCAGAGTCTGATAGCTTCCCCCCCCTTAACAGTTGATGGTAGCCATAGACTTCCATAGCATGACAAAATACTATGGCTACCGTCAACTGTTTGTTTACCAAAATATCATCTTGTGTGTTCAAAAGAAGAAAGAAACTCATACAGGTTTGGAACAAGTGGAGTGTGAGTAAAATGAACTGTCGCTTTAAAGCTGTCACTGTTAAGTGCAGGAAGTTTTCCATTCTTTGTTTCATCAGATAAATCAGTGCATCATTTGGGTATTTGAAGAGCACTTCCTAATGTTGGAATTTTTCAGTGTGAACACATTACTTGCACTATACTACAAAATGGCGTAGAAAATTATACAAGTACGCGTATTGGGACACACTTTGTATGTTATGGCATTTCTTTTTCAGTGGTTTCAATGGCAAAGAATTCTGGGTGAGGGGCAGTTCAACGAGAAATGTAAATCTTTTCCATGAAAAGCTCTAAAGTAATAAAGCATTACAATGTCCAGTGTTCAATGTAGATTATTCCAAGTCTTCTGAACAGATTGTAATTTAAGTCATATTCGCCGATCTTGCCATCCATTGTTGCTTATGAATAACAGCATATGGGTTTGGAACAACACGAGGGTGAGTAAATAATAACAGAATTGTACTTTTTGGCTGAACTATTCCTTTAATAGTACAGAATGAATAAGCAAACACTGGTCTTTAGCAAACCAAGCCGCTCTTTTGAATTCTGTTTAGTAGGCGTTCATGGTTGCCATCCCTCCTTTTCAACCATCTCAAGAAGAGCGCTGTAAATCTTAATCTCTCTCTCCGCAGCCCGAGGTGCTTGAAGGGGGAGGCCTTGCATCCACCAGTGTGTGACAACTATAACATTGCCAAAAGTGCCCATTCACTCTCCATAGCCCTTGTTTATGTGTCCCGGTCTAGGCAAAACCTGTCAGCCAGATCCCTGCTACTGTTTCTATTTAAAGAAGAGTTCATGATAGACACAAGCAGATGTCGATATCCGAGTTTCAGTTTTAGTGATTGTTTGCAGATAGAGTAAGCATTTAAACACATGCTTACGTAAGCATTTATACACTGAAAACACATCTTTTTGATGTTTTTGAAAAAAAAGTCTCTTACTCTGTTTACCAAGGCTGCATTTATTTGATCAAAAATATGGTAAAACAGTAATATTGTGAAATATTATTAGATATTATTACAATTTAAATATATTAAATAATATATTCAAATGTAATTTATTCCTGTGATGCAAAGCTACATTTTCAGCATCATTACTCCAGTTTTTAGTGTCACATAATCCTTCAGAAATCATTCTAATATGCTGATCTGCTGCTGAAGAAACATATATCATTATTATATCAGTTTTGAAAATTTGCGCTGCTTAATATTTTTTTGTAGAAACTTACTTGATATATTATTTTCTTCTCAGGATTCTTTGATAAATAAAAAGTACAAAAGAACAGCAGTTGGTAACAGTGTAAAAGTACTAGGTGCCCATGTAATTTTTTTAATAAATAAATTATGTATATTTGCAATGTTTTTAAACAGCAAAGTATTTATCCATCACAGTAATGATTCGTTGTACTGCAACAACAATTACAAAAACAGAATAACAAAACCTCAAAAGTAAAATGTCCTGATGCATTACAATAGTGACAACTAGACTTTATTGTCATGAAAATAATGTCCAAATAAACATGCTTAAACATTCATGACATTAACCCTCGGCTTCTAATGTTGGAATAACTCATGACCAAAGTCATAATATTACCTGCTTGGAAAACATGCTGTGATTTATTAAGAGGATGCCAGTGATCCATATAACCAGCAGGTTACAAAGGACATACAAATTCCTTGCAAACTAGACACGCACACACGCACACACACACACACACACACACACACACACACACACACACACACACACACACACACACACACACAAACACACACACGCACACACACACACACACATTTAAGCAATT